TAATAACAATAATAATAATAATAATAATAATAATAATAATAATAATGATGATGATGATGGTGATGATGATGATGATGATTCACAGCACAATCATACTACCACAGCACAATCGACGACGATAAACACTTCATATTGGGAACATGAGAGTATTATGAGTAAAGACTAATTACATGTACATGCGCTAACATGGCTTTCTTCCTATCTTTACCTTCTTTTTTCCCTTTTTTGGATTAGAATTGCCATTCCAACATTAGGCAATCAAAATAAGAACTAATACAAAGTTAAGTTGAATTTACGAGCACAACTCACTTGTCACTCGGAGGTAGGGAAGAATGTTATAAATTTTAATCCGCAGCTCTGGTGGATAATTATGCAAAACACCCGAGATTACCACAATCCGCTAATCATCCATCATAATGCGCAGTTGGGGAAAATATTATATAATAATAATTTGTAAATATATATATAAATATATATATTCAGATAAATAAAGCTGTGTAGGCTGACAGTAACGTAAGAAAATGACGTTCACCTCTCTTTCCACTGTGCATAGATCTACGTTGTTTTGATGTTTCACTTTGTGGGCTGATATTTTTCCCTTCGTTGCTTCCAAATGCCGACAACACATTAATTGATTAAGCGGGCGGGCTTTCAGATCCGGGGAAGTAGGCCTAAAGTTTCAGATCCGGGGACTCAGAAAAACCATGTCGAGTGACAGGCAGGCAGAATTCTACACAAACTGCCCTATGTCCGGGAGAACGAGGCAGGAAAACCCGAGACAGATCCGCCCGCATGCCTGGCGCAGAGTGGTGGAACCCATTCCTTTCGACCTTACCGCCGTCCAACATTCGCGATTTTCCCAGCATTCACAGCAATTCGAATGAAGTGCGTAGCGGAGCTATTCGAATGCCGTGGATTTTTGCGGACGACGGATTTGCGTCTCATTTTTGGGGGGTTTTGTTTTACCAGAGCTAAAAATTGGAGCATATTATAAAATCATTGACGTAATTAACACAAAAATATTATTTAAACTTGATCTTTTCGAGACAGTAATAAGCAAATCAACAAGAGTTATAAATCATGCCGTTAGATATACGAGAGAAAAAAAAACAACTTTCACACACAGTACTCGAATAGCAAGAATAACAACTATACTCTTCGAGGCGTCGGGGAAGTATCATTTCCTCAAAATCGCACCTCTCGCCACAGCATGGGAGGAAAATCTCGCTTCTCACGGTCTCCTAAATTTTGCTGGTTTGTTTTTGTTCTTTATATTATGTTCTAGATCCGGGAGGTAGGGGGGTAAGGCCCTACTGCCCCGCCACCGCTACGCGCTCTGCCCTCCTGCGAATGTTGATGGCGAGTGTGATATGGTCAGAAGAAAGGTTGCGTGTGTGTGTGTGCGTATGTGTGTGTGTGTTGGGTGTGTGTGTGTATGAGTATGTGTGTTGGGGTGGGGGTGTGCGTGTGTGAGTGTGTGTGTGTGTGTGTG